CYCTAAAAGCGCATAACGAAAACATCTATCGATTCACTGCCCAAATATTCAGCAGTATATTAGACAAAATGTATAATGCATGATTCTATGTACACTGTATCTATCTTCCCAAAGACTTATTACTGTCAGAAGGCTGTTTTTCAGTTTCTTGGGTCTATGGGTCTGTCTTCTGAATACTGAATGTCTGTTTTCTTGAACAATTTTGTACTTGGAAGAAAACATTCTAAATCCATCTTAACAATAAGTGTGCTCAGAGACAGGGAAGAACAGATACAGCTAAAAGCCCAGTAAGACTTTTATAACAGAAATTATGAACTGCAGTTTATCTCTAATATCAGCACACAACAAGGTTAATAATGTCCTACACTTTTTCTGGTATTCTGGTTTTCTGGCTGAGGCATAAAGCTGAGCCAACACTATTTTCAACAAATATTTTTAATTAAAACTACTATTTCACTGTGTAAACCGCTTCAGAGACATGGTAGCCACACTGCAAAAATCTTACTTTTGGAATACCTGTTATTCCCATCAAGGTTTGTGTGCAGCTTCTCCTAAAGCATTTTGAAACCTTGTCAGCATTTAAAACACCTCCAAATTTAAGGATCCTGCAATGCTGGTGATTTAGGTTATATCTATTTGGAATTTTTTACAATGCAATAAACCAAATCAGGAAAATTTTCAAGAATGAAGGCTCAGAAGGCTTGGATCCATCTTCACTTAGCCATCAGCATCAAAGCTTCAACATGACTACATCACTGCAACAAATGGCTTGTGGGCCCCTACTTCACTAGRGCACCCTCTAAAATAACTTACTCTAGACACATTGCAGCAGGCCTCAACAAGGCAAACTATTAACATCAATAAAGTCCAGTGGAGGGTTTTGTTTTTCCTTTTGTTTAGGACAAAATATTTAATGCCAGACACTGCAAAGGCTCTCTGCTCAGTGCTAGTGGGGTCTCATCTGGAGTGYTGTGTCCAGTTCTGGGCTCCTCAACACAGGAAAGACAAGAAGCTACATAAAAATATCTTAAAGGCAGGTGCCAATAGAATCATGCCAGACTCTTTTCCATGGTGCCCAGCAACAGGACAAGGAGCAGTGGACATGAACTAAACCACAAGAAATTCTACCTCAACATGAGAAAGAACTTGTTTTACATTGAGGGTGGCAGAGCACCAGAAGAGGATACCATGGAGTCATGGGAGTTGTGGAGGTCACGGAGACTTCCCCTCTGAAGACATCCAAAACCCACCTGGACGCATTCCTGTGTCACCTGCTCAAGGTGACCTTGCCTTGGCTGGGAAGTTGGACCAGCAAGGATTCYCCAAAGGTCCCTTCCAGCCCTAATGATACTGTGATTCTTTGAAATAGCAACCTGCTTGCAAATCTCTCAAGTCTATAACAATTCCCAGTGCATTTTAGTTTGAAATATCTTGTACTCCCTGAGAAAATAAAAATCAATTTTAGCATTGGAAATATATACATATATATATACATATATATGTATATGTATATGTATATATGTATATATGTATATATGTATATATGTATATATGTATATATGTATATATGTATATATGTATATATGTATATATGTATATATGTATATATATATGAATATACACCAGTGTTCAGCTTAAGGTGAAAAAAAGGATGAGGAGAGAATCAGCAGCAAGAGTATTCTCATGGACTGGAAAGAAAATATTGTGCCAAGGAAATCTCCCTTACCAGCTTCCTGGCCTTCTACGCATATACATGTGTTCACCATCACTTAGCCTTCATGAACAATTGCAATTTGGCAGTTCTAAAGGMGCAGGATTTGGCCCTTACTCAAAATATGGTCAAATATTACATGCAAATTATGTTAGAAATAAAGAAATTTTAAAAAGTAGCATAAAATCTGGCTACTCCACTTCACAGTCTGGAAGGAGCTGCGGTTGCTGCTATCCTGACAAGACAGGTAGTACAAAAGGCATCAACTACATTGAGGAACACCACACAGACTTTTGGCAGGTTTTTTT